GGGGTGGGATTGGGGAAAATTGGGGGAAAATGGGATGGGATTGGGGAAAATGGAGGGAAAATTGAGGGAAAATTAGGTGGGATTGGGGGAAATTTGAGGGAAAATGGGGTGGGATTTGGGAAAATAGGGGGAAAATGGAGTGGGATTGGGGAAATTGAGGGAAAAATGGGGTGGGATTGGGGAAAATGGAGGGAAAATTGAGGGAAAATGGGGTGGGATTTGGGAAAATAGGGGGAAAACGGTCTGGGAATGGGGGGAAATGGGGAATTTTGAGGTTGGGATGTGGGAAAATGCAGGGAAAATAAGGTGGGATGGAGAAAATGGGATGGGATTTGGGAAAATGGGCTGGGAATGAGGAGAAAATTGGGGATTTTGGGGGGTTTGGATGAGGGAAAACGGGGTTGGGATGTGGGAAAATGGGGAAAACAGGGAAAAATTGGGGATTTTGGGGGTTGGGATGAGGGAAAATGGGGGTTTTGGGGGTGGGGAGGGTGCCCAAAATTCCCGAATTCCCATTTTCCCAGCAAGGGGAGGTTCGGCTCCAGTGTGTGAAGGCGCTCCAGGGAATTTATGGAAACCCGGACATGGCCCCACAGCTGGAATTGTTCACTGGGAGGTTCAAGGTGAGGGGAAAACGGGGGTGGGATGAGGGAAAATGGGGAAAATGGGGTTGGGATGAGGGAAAATGGGGGGAAAAGAGGGTTGGGAAGGGGGGGAAATGGGACTGGGATGAGGGAAAATGGGAGAAAATGGGGTTGGGATGAAGGAAATAGGATTGGGATGAGGGAAAATGGGGTTGGGATGAGGGAAAATGGGATTGGGATGGGGAGAAATGGGGGAAAATGGGTCTGGGATGAGGGGAAATGGGGTTGGGATGAGGGAAACGAGGTTGGGATGAGGGAAAATGAGGTTGGGATGGAGAGAAATGGGGTTGGGATGAGGGAAAATGGGATTGGGATGGAGGAAAATGGGGGAAAATGGGGCTGGGATGCGGGAAAATGGGGTTGGGATGAGGGAAAATGGGGTTGGGACAGAGGAAAATGAGGTTGGGATGAGGGAAAATGGGGTTGGGATGAGAGAAAATGGGGTTGGGATGAGGGAAATGGGATTGGGATGGAGGAAAATGAGGTTGGGATGAGGAAAAAAGAGGTTGGGATGAGGGAAGTTGGGATTGGGATGGGGGAAAATGGGGAAAATGGAGTTGGGATGGAGGGAAAAAGGGGGAAAATGGGGCTGGGATGAGGGAAAATGAGGTTGGGATGGAGGGAAATGGGTTGGGATGAGGGAAAATGAAGTTGGGATGAGGGAAAATGAGGGAAAATGGGTCTAGGGAAGAACTGGGGGGTCCTGGGGAGTCCCCAAATTGTTCCTGTGTCCCCCCGGCAGCCCCGGCTCGTGGCCATGGCCCAGGACAAGGAGCCCGAGGTGGCCCTGGAGGCCGTCAAGCTCCAAATCCTCCTGGTCCAGTCAGTCTGGGGGGGTCCTGGGGGGCTTTTGGGGGGCCCTGGG